CCTTTGGGTCCCCGAACAAGAGTGCCATTTAGTGACTCACCCCGCTTGCTGGATAGATGCTAATGTGCTGAACACGTGCAAAACGGATAGGTTGGACACTGCCAGAATAGCCTACACAAGCCATTGGCAAGCAGGGACAAATGCGATATGGGCAAGAAGTCTCATAGAGCTGTATGATGCAATATCTTGCTGGTGCGAGAGATGCAGGGAATGAGACATGGAATGCCATGCAAACGCTGCTGGTTTCCTTTAAAGGGACCAAAGCCTGGGTTCATTCCCACATTCCCTACTGAGCACCAGCACGACAAGCTGTTGTTTTTAACCTTGACGGTTGATTCATACGGCCTGCTTTGTTCTTGATTGCGCATGGGCATCGCTCAAGGAACGTTCGTCTACACATTCCTCACAAATTATTTTCATGTTTGAATGTAGCTTAGATTGCCATATCTCTGTTATGCAAAACCTACTGGCAGGAATGCTCGACCTGTGTTTCCAGACCTGCAAAAGCGCTCGACGGTGCCAAGGCCTATGACTTCGCGACGCCCGGGAGCCTGAAGCCAGGCACGCGCCTGGGCGGTGAGGCGGCCGCAGCTGGCGGTGGAGTTTTGTTGCCAAAGTCAGGGGTCTTTGGCCAACATCAGGCGTTTTGGGACAGCAAATGGCAAATCCTTCTTGGCAGGTTTCAAGCTTTTGTTTGAAGACTGGGTTGTTGTACATGCATCCCTAATCCCTAGTGGTTTCGCCTGCAGTGATTGCGGGGTGCGGATTAGGGATGCCCCAGCATGGTTTTTTTTCTTCTCCAGGTTCTGCGCAGAACACGGTGGGTTCAGGGAAATTAGTTGTTTTAGCAGACGGTCAAGGCATACAAAATGCGGGCAGGTGTTTTGTTGTTGGCCAAAGGATGGCATTGGCACAGGTTTGTAAGTTGCCAGACGGAGAGGGTTTGCTCATGAGTTGACACGAGAAATCAAAGATGCGAAGGCAAAGCAGAAGAGGTATTGCTTGCTGTATTTTGATGCCCTTGCGCCGGTACCTTGACAGAGATGTTTTGCAGTCATTGGGCGAGGATGACATGAAGGCTATGAACAAGCCAACATAGCATGGACGCATTCTAACATTAAACGCGAGAACATATCACAATTTCTGTTGGAGGACAGATGTTTGATTCCTGAGTGACGTTTTGATAGCTTCGGAGATGTGTGTATGAAAGGTTATGGTTTAAACCCTGAGTATTATTACATTTTACCTCGCTGAGCCTGTACACCTTACGTAACGCTGTTTCTGATGCCATGTTCAAGTTAGCTTGTGTTGAAATAGATTTAGTGACCAACATATGTTTGTATCGAATGCTGGGTTTCAGGGGGCGGGGTGCGTCTATGTATGTACATGTACATAAACACACGCCTGCCCACTAACAGCGAGTCCAGTTTTCCTTTCAGAGGCAAAGTCAACTACGGACGGCTGAGCCTTGCAGCTTCTTAGGGGGCGTTTCCGAAAGCGAAAGCCGTGGTGAAATTTTGGCTCACTGATGCTAGAAACTACCCTGCGTCGGCTCCAACCTGCAAAAAAGTGTGTGTCATTGGCACACTTGACCGCCCACATTTTTGCGAAACCCCTACGATCAACAAAGACGCCACAACTTTATGGCATTGTGGCGCCTGGGTACGATATGTGTCCCCATGCTGTGCCCTTACCCTCAGCATACATCAAGGCGCCGGTTCTGTTTGTCTATGGCAACTTGGTAAAATGCATCCTCAGGTGTCGTCTGCATCCTGGTGAGCATGATCAATGCCGTCGAGGCTGGGAGTCTCCGTTTTGCGGAGAGCGTCGTAGCACGGTTGGCGTCGAGGCCTTGGACCAAAGCGTTGCTTTCGAATTGTCTGAGATGTGTGAGCTTCCACAGTCACTGCATATTCATTGGGTAGCGCATGGTAGCAGTTCGCAAGAAGCATCGAACTCATGTTGTGTCTCTGTCCTTCACCGCTCGTTACACCGACGTCACGGAATGTCCGGTAGATGGGCGCAAAGGCAAGAGATCGGCACCAGTTGACCCTAGCATCATGGATTGAGTCCCAGCAAAAATCCGACCGTCACCATGGACCAGGACAGGGGTTGGCAAGGTTGGGTCCTCCTATGTGCAAGCTTTCCGCTTTTCAAGCAGTTTACTACTAGAGGCTGTCCCATTATTGCGCGATGTTGCCCACACCGGCATACTGGGGAAGTGAGTTTCTGGAAACAATCCTGAAGCCGAGAAGTTCCAAAAGGGGATTCCTCACATTCAGTGTTGAGTTCCTTCTGTTGGGACTGGACCAGCTCTTGGCATGGTTTCGGACGCCGCCAGATTGTTTGAGGTGTTTTGTTCCCATTCTCTCCGGGATTTGTATTCTTGTTCCAAGAGCCACCAAGCACCAAATAGAAAACAACAGCAGAACGACAGTGTTCACAAGGAATCCTTCCTTTCAGACAACCTCATTGAAAACCAGGGAGAAGCACCCAAAGTCCAAAACCCCAACAACAGACGGGTCATTTAGGACAAAACACCCACCAAGCATCGGACAACAGAACAACAGCCAACTGCCAGTTGTTCGCCCAAATGTCTGTTTTCCCCCCCAAACAATGGGTTATGCTTGACCAGTCCTGTTTTTCCAACTCAAAACGCGTTGTTCTCGATCAGCCATCCCGTTTTTTGCTCTTCAAACTCCAGGGCCTTCTTCGGGCCTTCTTCCGCTGGGCGGCCGGGCCGTCGGGTGGTCGGGCGGCCGGGCGGCCGGGCCGGGTGGCCGGTTCCGGCCGTCCTTTTCGGATGGAAAAAACCGGTCAGTCAACTGCTTCGCCCAAGCCATAGCCACCCATGAGATTACTTGCCCAAAGACTGATGTGAAGTTTTGAGGTTGGATTTCTTCCCTCGGTGGGTTTTCGCGTTTTTTTTGTCGCTGGCATTTTTCAAGGGACGCCACCTTGCTGTTGTATTGCTTTGCTGGGTTGTTTGTTTGGCGCTTGTTCTGTTGTTTGTGTTCGAGGAACTCAGCCTCCCACCACGTTGAGGTGGGATTGGCTCCTGCTTCCCTGATCCCTCTGTTTTTTGGGCTGGCCTCAGCGATTTGGGTGTGTCTGTGCTTTCTAGGGCCAAGTGTGATTTTGGAAACTCATTGTGGCTGATTTTCAAAGGCAGACAACAAAAAAGCACCGAACAGTTTTTGGGGTCCGCTAATTCGGAATTCTGAGTCAAACCCATTTGTATGGCATACTGGTTCATTCAAGCAAACGCATTGTGGTCCTGGCCTGCATGTCGACCTTTGCTGCCCTGCCGTCAATCCAACTTCTAACGTTCTTCGGCCAGGACCCCACAGATAGTTTTCCGCAGCATGATTTCGGGTGCAGACGTGCGCCCCAGATCGAGGGTTGATGTCCCATTCATTCCGCCTATCATGGGGCAAGGTAACCCCAGATAATCCCAAGCGGGCTGTTTTCGGGCGTTCTTTAACTTCGCGTGCACGGTGCCTTTTTTGAGCGGGCAAAATGCGCGGGGTAGGATGCATACGGCAGACGCACGGTGTCCCTTGACAGCAGCACGTCGTTCCGAGGTTGTTTTGCTGTTGTCGTTCTTGGTGTTTCTCAAGGGGCACAGCTTTGCTGTTGTATTTCTGGGTTTGGTTGTTTGCTTGCCGTTTGTTCTGCATAGTTTGTTCGAGGGACCCAGCCTCCAACCAAGATGTTGAGCTGCTATTTCTCGATCCCTCCGTCTTTTGGGCTGGCTGAGCCCGCGCGACTTGGGCGTGTCTGTCGTCCTAGGGTTTGATCCTTTCCATGTTTGTCGACCATCCAAAACAACAAACCAGCCGTTTCCCGCAGAATTGGGGCCAAGAAGGATTTCTGGGAATGGCGAACCTACACCAGGTACGATTTTGGGAACTCCTTGTGGCTGGCGTTATATTGGCAACCAAAAAGCACCGAACCGCTTTGCCCATTTGTATGATGGACTGGTTCATGCAAGCACACAACGCGTTGTGGTCCTGGCCGGCATGTTGACCTTTGCTCCCCTGTCGTCAATCCATTTGTCTATTGTTCTTTGGCCAGGACCCCAACGGCAGTTTGACGCAGCGTGATTTTAGCTAGCAGGCAATTCAACCATGCCAGGCGGCCGCATGGCGGCCGCATTGCGGCTCTTGTCTCTGCAAGGCTGGCTGACAAGGGGAATGTGCTGATTTGACAGACGGTCGACCTTTTCGCCAACATGTGCTGTAGCAACTAGGATGAGGTGCATGCACCTATACCTATCACGCCCAATTGCCATGAGAAAGCAGATGAACACCCCAACCCGAAGATGTCCAGCAAAACAAGCTTTCTGAATTCCAGAAGGACCACCCTGAATCACTCGACATTTCCGAGCCAAATTCCGACTCCCAAAGAATGCCTCGTGACCCCTATAACGGCTGGAATTCCCCCCACACGGTCGGATCTTGGATGGGGAATGGTCGAAGACCTGAGGTTTTTTGCTGGCCTGATGTGGTCGAGTTCCGGTTGCCGCCGCTGTGTTGCATTTGTTCGTTTTTTCGATCTCGATGCGGCAGTCTCCTTGGCCCGAAAGGTGCAAATGGTAGAGAGGGGTTACTCAGACACATTCGGAGACTCTTCGGCCTTCTCAAGAGATTTCAAGACGTTCAAGTGACCCAACGCATGTCTCGGATTCCCCGGATCTCCGACATTTCATATATAGAGAATATGATATACATATACATATATATATATATATACACACATATTCGCGGCTCCCCGACTGTCGCCTCTTCGGTCTTGTTCGCCCCGCAGGGCCTCAAAGACTCCGCGCCTCGGCTCGGTGAGGCGGGCGGTCAAAGGTGTTCCGCCTCAACGCCGTTTTTCCGGCGACTCCGACGACGGCGTTCGATGCCGGCTCGACGGCCTCGGAGTCGTGTTTGCGGATCCGGAAGTTTTCGGACCAAGAGTGGAATCTCAAAATATTGACTTTGTAGAGACTCGCCATGGCAATGAGGATTTCATTTCGACAGTTGAACGGTGAGGTAACGGTTTGTGAAGTTGTGCCAGATATCACCGGTCGGGAACTCAAGGAGCGCTTCAAGGAGTGCCAGGTTTGGGATGATGTCACACGCGAAACAACCCGTGTCATCATTCTTGTGGGGACGAGATTGATGACGAACGACGAGACGGCTGCAGGTGCAGGCCTTTCGCCAGAGTCAGGCGTGACCGTAGTATTGAATCAAAACGCTGCGACCTGCTCCGACAAGTGGGAGCTTGACCAATTTGGCGAGGAGATTGACTTGGAGACCGCATTTGTGGTTGAAATCCCAAGCGGTGCTACTGAAATTGTTGAAGACGCATTTGCAGACTGTCACACACTGGCACGTGTGACCATTCCAGACTCAGTGACCCAGATTGGCGCTGGTGCCTTTTCAAGATGCAGCTCCTTGGCTAGTGTGACCATCCCAGACTCAGTGACCCAGATTGGCGATAGTGCCTTTCAAAACTGCAGCTCCTTGGCTAGTGTGACCATCCCAGACTCAGTGACCCAGATTGGCGATGGTTCCTTTTCACAATGCAGCTCCTTAGTTAGTGTGACCATCCCCGACTCAGTGACCCAGATTGGCGATGATTCCTTTTCACAATGCAGCTCCTTAGTTAGTGTGACCATTCCCGACTCAGTGACCCAGATTGGCTGTGCTGCCTTTTCAGGATGCAGCTCCTTAGTTAGTGTGACCATCCCAGACTCAGTGACCCAGATTGGCTATGGTGCCTTTCAAAACTGCAGCTCCTTGGCTAGTGTGACCATCCCAGACTCAGTGACCCAGATTGGCGATGGTGCCTTTCAAAACTGCAGCTCCTTGGCTGGTGTGACCATCCCCGACTCAGTGATCCAGATTGAGGGTGGTGCCTTTTCAGAATGCAGCTCGTTGGCTAGTGTGGCCATCCCAGACTCAGTGACCCACATTAGCGATGGTGCCTTTCAAAACTGCAGCTCCTTGGCTAGTGTGACCATCCCAGACTCAGTCAGCCAGATTGGCTATGCTGCCTTTCAAAACTGCAGCTCCTTGGCTAGTGTGACCATCCCAGACTCAGTGACCCAGATTGGCTATGGTGCCTTTCAAAACTGCAGCTCCTTGGCTAGTGTGACCATCCCACACTCTTTTACCCAGATTGATCTTAATGCCTTTGCAGGCTGCAGCTCCTTGGCTAGTGTGACCATCCCAGACTTGGTGACCCAGATTGGTCTTAGTGCCTTTGCAGACTGCAGCTCGTTGGCTAGTGTGACCATCCCCGACTCAGTGACCCAGATTGGCTATGGTGCCTTTCAAAACTGCAGCTCCTTGGCTGGTGTGACCATCCCCGACTCAGTGACCAAGATTGGTGTTCATGCCTTTGCAGGATGCCGCTCCTTGGCAAGCTTGACCATCCCAGACTCAGTGACCCAGATTGGCGATGGTTCCTTTTCACAATGCAGCTCCTTAGTTAGTGTGACCATCCCCGACTCAGTGACCCAGATTGGCCGTGGTGCCTTTGAATACTGCAGCTCCTTGGCTAGTGTGACCATCCCAGAGTCAGTGACCCAGATTGGCGATGCTGCCTTTTCAAGATGCAGCTCCTTGGCTAGTGTGACCATCCCAGACTCGGTGACCCAGATTGGCTATGGTGCCTTTCAAAACTGCAGCTCCTTGGCTGGTGTGACCATCCCCGACTCAGTGATCCAGATTGAGGGTGGTGCCTTTTCAGAATGCAGCTCGTTGGCTAGTGTGGCCATCCCAGACTCAGTGACCCACATTAGCGATGGTGCCTTTTCAGGATGCAGCTCCTTGGCTAGTGTGACCATCCCCGACTCAGTGACCAAGATTAGTGTTCATGCCTTTGCAGGATGCCGCTCCTTGGCAAGCTTGACCATCCCAGACTCAGTGACCCAGATTGGCGATGGTGCCTTTCAAAACTGCAGCTCCTTGGCTAGTGTGACCATCCCAGACTCGGTGACCCAGATTGGCTATGGTGCCTTTCAAAACTGCAGCTCCTTGGCTGGTGTGACCATCCCCGACTCAGTGATCCAGATTGAGGGTGGTGCCTTTTCACAATGCAGCTCCTTAGTTAGTGTGACCATCCCCGACTCAGTGACCCAGATTGGCCGTGGTGCCTTTCAATACTGCAGCTCCTTGGCTAGTGTGACCATCCCAGAGTCAGTGACCCAGATTGGCGATGGTGCCTTTTCAAGATGCAGCTCCTTGGCTAGTGTGACCATCCCAGACTCGGTGACCCAGATTGGCTATGGTGCCTTTCAATACTGCAGCTCCTTGGCTGGTGTGACCATCCCCGACTCAGTGATCCAGATTGCGAAAAATGCCTTTCGACACTGCAGCTCCTTAGCTTGTGTGACTGTCCCTGATTGCGTGATTGAGGAGGATGCCTTCGCAGGATGCAGTGCTTTGACTTTGGTCGTTCCCATATCTGGGCGAAGGTTGAGGGTTGCCGCCCTGACGGGCTGCAAGCAGATTCAAGCAAAAGAATGTGCATGTCAAGAGTGCGAGTACAAGTGGTTTCTGAATGGCTGGGTGTGTCCTCGACGGTGGGGAACTTGCCCTTCCTCGAGAAGCTTTTTGTGGCACGTTGTATAACTGAATGATGGTCGCACACGGAATCATCTCAACCGCACTGCTTGCGAAAAGGCGGCTGGCTTGCTGCTGGCTCCACTTGTGGGCATGCCCAGTGACGCTTATGTATCACGTTCATTCAAAATACTTGGGATGCATCCCGCGTCAAGTTTGAATCGGATATGACTTGGACTGATTTGGTCCTCGACCCGGATGGCGCTGTATGTCATCGCTCGTGTTTCCTATCTCGTGTGGTCATTTTCCAATGTCCTCTGAGTTGAATCTGCGGCTCGGGGTGTCAAACAGGGGATTGAACAAAGGGGTGGTGCGTCCTCCTTCTGCCTCCTTTAAGGGAATGTTCCAATCGTGCGCTGCCCAGCTCTGTCCGTTGCGCCCTGCACTCTGCTTCCTTGGGCAAGGCCTGGCAGGATGAACTGATGCCCCAGCAATTGGTGCCCTTCTCTCCCGTTTCTTTTTTGGTGAGGGTTCAAACCTAGTAAAATAGCCCTTATTCTAACCTCTCTACTGGAGGACGTGGTGAATATTCAAAAGGACACATGGATGGAAAATGAGCCACAGGCTCAAAACCCAGGTAGATGGTTAGGTTAGTACGGGACAATCCCAACTTAACCATAAAGAGCTGCGGATCCCCGCCTTCTTATTTCTTTAAGCATGGTTCTGGGATTACGACCATTTTACTAGCGGGTTTTGATTATGACTCAACTGACTTTCGAAGAGCAACATTTTTCTTCGGCTTTTGAAGGGGCAAAGAGAGCACCGCCGGTATTTGGTGTTTCCGCGGTCTTAGTATTGCAATTTTCGACAATTTATTATTCCAAGACTCACTCTCAGATTCCCAGTACTTCATTTACTCTTGCCAATTCCAGATTTAGCAAAACAAGTTTGACATGAAAGCAAACGAACCACGCAACAGCCAGATGAAGCAGATTCAGGGCCTCTTGTCGGCAACACCCTTTGCGCCAACTGTTTGGCCTGACGTTTTTTGATAAGAGAAGGTGTCCGAAATACGGAAAACAAAAGGCTGCTTTGCCCTGCAAAATTATGGTTTGGCTCCGAGGCCGCTTGGCCCTTGAGCCATTTTTTCTCGGGATTTTTTCCGGCTCGTTTTTTGTCTTTCTCCTTTTTCTGCGGGTCTTTGCCCAGAGCTTCGGGAGACCACCTGACCCGGGTTGGTTTTGGGACGGTTGCGTGGCTTGGACGCGGGCTTTTGGACGCGAGGCAACTTCAGATTGGCGGATTCCCCTGTGGTGTGGGTTGGGGGGGAACTTGGGGATGCGCAACAGCCTCACCTCTAAAGCACCGATCCAATGATGCCTTCAAGCTAGCCAGGGAATCAATCAGCATGGGAAAAAGGAAACAGCTTACAAAAGCTTCACTCAGGGCTACAACTTGCTGGAGCTCAGGGAGTGACCCGGTTTGGGCATGAACCGTTTGGGATTCTCTGAAAGCACAGGATGTTTTTTTGTTGTTTTCATGTTTTTTTTTTTCCGGTCATTCCGAATTCATTTGTCCAAGGGAAGTGTTGAGTCGAGTTGCCGCTGGGCATGAACCTTTTGTTTTTTCTCGGGGTCAGTCCATTCATTTCTCATTCCCTGCCCATCGAACCAAGGGAAGTGTTGTGTGAGTCGAGTTGCCAGCGTATCTGTTCCAGGGGGGTCTTGCCACCTGTGAGAAAACTGGCGACCATGTTTCCCCTCAAAAAGGAATCCTTCAGTACAAGGGGGTCGATCATTTTTCCCCCAAAGGTGGCAAAAAGACCCCCCTGATCTGTTCATCTCGCCAGGCCGCCACGTGAAAGACTCTCGGCTGAAGGCGTCGGGATTTTGACGGTTCGGTTCCGTTCGAGGTGGTGCCGGTTGCTTTTTTCCTTTATTTTCTGGCCATCCTTCATCCTTCTTGCCGTTTCCCCGAATTGGGTGCATTCTGGAAAGGATCCGCGGGGCAGCCATGAGCTAGGATGGTTCAAAGCTTACATCTCCACATGGGTATCCTGCTTTGGGTGGTTTGTAGCGTCAATCATGTTTGGGGGTGTTCTGTTCGTTTTGCGTTTCAGCTTCTTTCTCCTTTTCGTGCTCTCGCTCTTGCACTTTTTTTCTCGTGTCCTTTCTCCTTCTCTTGCTTTTGGTCTTGCTCTTGCTTTCTCTCCTTCCCTTTCTCTTTAGCAGGCGCGAGTTTTTTTTTACAGAAGTCCAAGGAACAAGACGGATGGCGCGAGTGAGCGTAGATCCTGGGCACCCAAAGAGTTGCCCGGGAACAGAGCTGGAAGCTCATTTGACTTGGCAGTGCTGGCTCTTTTTTGTTTGTTTTGGTTTCTCTTTAGGCTCCCTCTTGATCTTGGGTTGCTTTGGGTTTATTTTGTCCCCTTCTGGTTGATGCGTGCTTGTATTTCAAGAGTTCCAAACACAGCCAAGAGGGTTGGTTGCGCAAACAACCAACCCCTGGTTCCTTGAAAAGTGAAGGCAAACTCATTTTGTTCCAGGGGGGGGGGCAAAGAGGCCCAACAGCGCTGGTCCGACTGGCATAGAGACCAACTTTGGACTGGACGGACTTGGGACGGGATGCTCATTTGTTGGCTCTGTTGTAGGTCATTGCTGTGTTGCTGGCCTGAGCCCTGATTGTTCCAGGCGCCCCAGAGGGTTGATTTCCCAATCATTGCAGTTATGATGTTCATTGTGTAGAATGGGCAAGGAAACCCCAGATAATCCCAGGCGGGTTGTTTTCGGGCGTTCTTTAACTTTGCATGCACGGTGCCTTTTTTGAGCGGGCAAAATGCGCGGGGTAGGATGCATACGGCAGACGCACGGTGTCCCTTGACAGCAGCACGTCGTTCCGAGGTTGTTTTGCTGTTGTCGTTCTTGGTGTTTCTCAAGGGGCACAGCTTTGCTGTTGTATTTCTGGGTTTGGTTGTTTGCTTGCCGTTTGTTCTGCATAGTTTGTTCGAGGGACCCAGCCTCCAACCAAGATGTTGAGCTGCTATTTCTCGATCCCTCCGTCTTTTGGGCTGGCTGAGCCCGCGCGACTTGGGCGTGTCTGTCGTCCTAGAGTTTGATTCCTTTCCATGTTTGTCGACCATCCAAAACAACAAACCAGCCGTTTCCCGCAGAATTGGGCCAAGAAGGATTTCTGGGAAGAATGGCGAACCTACACCAGGTACGATTTTGGGAACTCCTTGTGGCTGGCGCTATATTGGCAACCAAAAAGCACCGAACCGCTTTGCCCATTTGTATGATGGACTGGTTCATGCAAGCACACAACGCGTTGTGGTCCTGGCCGGCATGTTGACCTTTGCTCCCCTGTCGTCAATCCATTTGTCTATTGTTCTTTGGCCAGGACCCCAACGGCAGTTTGACGCAGCGTGATTTTAGCTAGCAGGCAATTCAACCATGCCAGGCGGCCGCAGGGCGGCCGCATTGCGGCTCTTGTCTCTGCAAGGCTGGCTGACAAGGGGAATGTGCTGATTTGACAGACGGTCGACCTTTTCGCCAACATGTACTGTAGCAACTAGGATGAGGTGCATGCACCTATACCTATCACGCCCAATTGCCATGAGAAAGCAGATGAACACCCCAACCCGAAGATGTCCAGCAAAACAAGCTTTCTGAATTCCAGAAGGACCACCCTGAATCACTCGACATTTCCGAGCCAAATTCCGACTCCCAAAGAATGCCTCGTGACCCCTATAACGGCTGGAATTCCCCCCACACGGTCGGATCTTGGATGGGGAATGGTCAAAGACCTGAGGCTTTTTGCTGGCCTGATCAGGTCGAGTTAGGGATGCCGCTGTGTTGCATTTGTTCGTTTTTCCTATCTCGATGAAGCAGTCTCCTTGGGCCGAAAGGTGCAAATGGAAAAGAGGGGTTACTCAGACACATTCGGAGACTCTTCGGCCTTCTCAAGAGATTTCAAGGCGTTCAAGTGACCTAACGCATGTCTCGGATTCCCCAGATCTCCGACATTTCATATATAGAGAATATGATATACATATACATTCATATATATATATATATACATATTCGCGGCTCCCCGACGTTCGCCTCTTCGGTCTTGTTCGCCCCGCAGGGCCTCAAAGACTCCGCGCCTCGGCTCGGTGAGGCGGGCGGTCAAAGGTGTTGCGCCTCAACGCCGTTTTGCCGGCGACTCTGACGACGGCGTTCGGGGGGCTTTGGGCGATGCCGGCTCGACGGCCTCGGAGTCGTGTTTGCGGATCTTGGAGGTTTTCGGACGAAGAGTGGAATCTCAAAATATTGACTTTGTAGAGACGTGTCATTGCAAGGATTTCATTTCGACAGTTGAACGGTGAGGAAACGGTTTGTGAAGTTGTGCCAGATATCACCGGTCGGGAACTCAAGGAGCGCATCAAGGAGTGCCAGCTTTGGGATGATGTCACACGCGAAACAACCCGTGTCGACATTCTTGTGGGGACAAGATTGATGACGAACGACGAGCCGGCTGCAGATGCAGGCCTTTCGCCAGAGTCAGGCGTGACCGTAGTATTGAAACAAAACGCTGCGACCTGCTCCCACAAGGCGGAGCTTGACCAATTTGGCGAGGAGATTGACTTGGAGACCGCATTTGTGGTTGAAATCCCAAGCGGTGCTACTGAAATTGTTCGAAAAGCATTTCAACACTGCGACACTCTGGCACGTGTGACCATTCCGGACTCAGTGACAGAGATTGGCGCTGGTGCCTTTTCAGGATGCAGCTCCTTGGCTAGTGTGACCATCCCCGACTCAGTGACCGTGATTGGGAATAATGCATTTTCAGGATGCAGCTGTTTGGCTAGTGTGACCATCCCAGACTCAGTGACCCAGATTGGCTATGGTGCCTTTCAAAACTGCAGCTCCTTGGCTAGTGTGACCATCCCAGACTCGGTGACCCTGATTGATCTTAATGCCTTTGCAGACTGCAGCTCGTTGGCTAGTGTGACCATCCCCGACTCAGTGACCCAGATTGGCGCTGATATCTTTTCAGGATGCAGCTGTTTGGCTAGTGTGACCATCCCA